CCGCCGGCCGCCGCCCCCGCCGACACCCAAGCTGGGGCCTCCCAGTTCCGGCGAGCGGGGCCGCCCGCAGCGGCTCCTGCACCTTCTGCAAACCAGGAAGTCGCCGGGAGGGGGAAGGGGCGCGGGGACGCGCCGGCGGCTGCACCTGGGCCGCGCGGCCCGCGGGCCGAGCCTGAGGAGGCGGGGCGGGGGTGGGCGCGGTCCTCGCGCCGGGGGCTGCCAGGGGTCGGGGCGTCGCACGGATGCCGCCGGGATGGCCCGCGTACCGCTTTGCAACCGAGCCAGAAAGCCAAGGTGCCCGTGTCCTCAGCGCGGGACCGGCCGGCTTCCTTTCTGTGTCCTGTCCAAGCTCCAGGGCCTCAAGGCCACACACCTCCCCACCCCCAAACAGTGAAGTACCTGAAAAAGTACCTCTGCTCCCAGCGTTCTCCACATCACCTGCACACGGAATTGGGTTCTTTTCATTTCAGACTGTAAATTCAGGGCTCAAGTTGATGCTCCCGGCTCCTCCTCACGCCAGCTGTGGCCTGGTTACAACTCTCTGAATTCCAGAGCTACCTCCTCCTGATTCAAGAATGTTCAGACGTGTGCACCTGCTAAATAGCCCTGTCGAGAGCCAGATGATCGTGCTCCACTTCCCTGCACATGTGGGAGACAGACATTCCTATACCATAGACTGCGGCATAACCAGGCACTAACTTTTGGACACATTGAAGCCGCCGCAGGCCTCAGGCTGACAGTCTAGTGGAGTTCAGAGGGTGGGAGGGGCTGATTGACAGGGCGCTAAAAGCACGTGTTAAGCAGGTTCTGTGCATTGTCTCACTTGGCACTTGCTATAGCTGTGCAATAGATAACTTCCATCAGCATTTCATAGATGAAGGAGGCAGTGGGTAGGCGAAGCTGGAAATCAGACAACATCTGTCTGATGCTGATCATTTACTTCTACTTGTTAACTTCCTCTCCCTCTGCTCTGCTGACTCATACTTAGGATTTACTGAGAAGAGATGTAGAAAAAGACTGAATGCTGGACATTCGAAAGATTGTCTGTGGCTGGGCTGTTTCCACAGAGATCTGTAGGCGGCCTTCTCCCAACTACATAGCCACCCTTGCCTGACATGTGGCCCCAGGGTTCTTCATCCAAATAGGGTGGCTTCAGAATTTATTCATGCAGAAGGTAAGGTGAGGAGAGGAAACTAAATGTGGTATGAATGTACTGTGAGTCATGAGACAGAGTGAGAAAAGGGGTCTCAGGAATTAACTAAAGAACAGAGACTGGGAGAACCTGAAGTTAAACTCGATTTCAACTACCTTAAACTTTCTTGCCAAAAATGTGCATTGTTTGGTCTTCAACATGCATATATTGTATAGCCATGGGTCAAGAATGAGGACAGGCCATAACTGTGAAACAAAAAATACATAAATTTTAGCACAATGAGTTGTCATAGCTTGATTCGGGGTGAGACACTTAACTTCAGTTTCTCAGTTCCTGCATTTGTAAAATGGGAATGATTACTTACAAATCACATGAGTTGTACGATGTTCTGGTTTTAAAAAATGCTACAAACTTGTGTTATCTTTATAGAAATGATTCTGTGAATTTCAGTTTCACAATTAGGTAAACTGCACCACGTAAAGGTATTTTCCCCAATTTAAGATTTTTATCTAAGAAGTTACCATACTCCAAAGCCTTGAAAAGTTATCTGTCAACTAAAAACCACTTCTCCTCCAAGTGTTACTGAATTGCTCAAACTTCTCCTTTCATTATACTTAATTCTTCTCCAAAGGAAAAAACCCTACTTCAGGTTCCTACGTCAGTAGTTTTTGGGTTGAGGTGAGGAAAGAGTAATGAAATAGTCATATACTTGTTTTCTCTATCCATTGTTGGGGGGTTTTTTAACTGAAAATCATACCCCTGCCTAATATAAAGTTGTTATTTATTGAATTTACATTAAGTATCTAGAGGGAAAGTACGACACGTGTATACCCTACAGCAAATCTTTATATTAATTCAGAACATTACAGGGTTACATAATTTACCTTTGTACGCTTTAAGTTAAAGTTTTAAGTGTGGCCCTCACCCAGAAAGTGGGCATTATACACATTAGGTGGGAATCCACCCCTCTTCTGCCCTCCCACCTACTTGATTTCCATTGAGTTTTAATTCCATATGTGCACATAAATTTAATCATCTATCTCCAATTTAGTAATGAGTACATGTGGTATTTGTTTTTCTTTTCCTTGAGATAGAGTATCACTCTGTTGCCCAGGCTAGAGTGCCCTAGCATCAGCCTAGTTCATAGCAACACAAAAGGGCCTGAGTTCAAGTGATAATCCTTGCCTCAGTGTCCTAAGTAGTTGGGACTACAGTTGCCCATCACAATGCCTGGCTAATTTTTTCTACTTGGAGACAGGATCTTGCTCTCGCACAGGCTGGTCTCAAACTCCTGAGCTCAAACAATCCTCCCTCCTTGGCCTCCCAGAGTGCTAAGATTATAGACACAAGTCACTGCACCAGGCCAGATATTTTGTTTTTCCATTCTTGTGATAGTTCACTTAGAAGAATGAATGGTACCATCTAGGTTGTTACAAATGATACTAGATCACTATTTTTTTGTTATGGCTGAGTAGTACTCCATGATATATATAAATACACACATACACACACACACATATATATATCACTTTTTATTAATCCTCTCCTGTATTGATGGGCCGTTGGGTTGTTTCCATATCTTTGCATTGTGAATTGCACTACTATAAACATTCGAGTGCAAGTATCTTTTTTTTTTTTTGCAGTATTTGGCCAGGGCTGGGTTTGAACCCACCACCTCTGGCATATGGGGTCAGCGCCCTACTCCTTTGAGCCATAGGCGCTGCCCACAATTATCTTTTTTATAAAATGATTTTTTCTTCCCTTTAGGTAAATAACAAGCAAATCTTTTTAAATCAGCTTTTAGGCTGACCATAATAAAGAGATTTATCTATTCTGGTATTACTGAGGTAAAAGGAATAGAAATACAGATGGACACAATTTATACGCATCAAAAATACTGAGAAAGGGATTTAGTATATACTTATCTTGGTAATATGTTTACTAAAACCAGTGGCATAATTTTAGTAACACTCATTTCATATAGAACTTTCCATATGACTGATAGAGGTGTATGAAAGGCAGACCTTCACATTAGTCTTTGATCTTCCCAAGATCATATTAAGATCATAGTTCAGCAATGATAGTTCCTTTCTGCCAAGTGATAGTAACATTTTCCAGGATGGTAGTGGTCAAAGAACATGATCTATAAGCTATTAACCTTTTCAAATGTTTTTTTTATTAAGTCATTTGTACATAGATCATAAATACATTTATGCCATTATGGGATTAAGTGTGTTGATTATTTGTACAAATTGGAGTGCTTACATCCTACTAAACAACATAGCCTTCACCTCTTTTATTTTATTTTATTTTGCAGTTTTGGGGCGGGGCTGGGTTTAAACCCACCACCTCTGGCATATGTGGCTGGCGCCCTACTCCTTTGAGCCACAGGCGCTGCCCCCTTTTCAAATGTTTTGAGACTTATTTTAAATATTTTGCATGGGTTTGTAAGGAATATATATATTCTGTGACTCTTGGGTACAGTATTGTAATATATGTCCTTGATCAAGTATGATGCTTATGTTATTAACATTTTCTATTACTGAAGTTGTATCTACTTGACATAGCTAATTAATGAGAGAGGTAAGTTAAAATATGTTGGTAGATTTGTCTACTTCAGCTTAGACAGTTCTGTCAACCTTTGATTTATATCGTTTCTGACTGTGTAATAATATACCAGTTCATAATTATTGTACACACCTGGTAAATTGAACCCTTTCTGTATCTCTAATAAAGTTTTTGCTTTAGTTTCCAAACAGTTTTCCTCTGAGTGGTATTTACCTGTATTAGTGATCTCTTCCTCCCCTTTTACATTCAAACTTTCTAAATCATTATCAAATAATCCACTTAGTTCAGTGTTTGTTTGTTTGTTTATAACAGAGTCTCACTCTGTGTCCAGGGTAGAGTGCTCTGGTATTTTAGCTCATGGCAACCTCAAACTCTTGGGCTCAACTAATTTAAATGTATTTTAAAAGTTTGAATTTTGATTTTTAACCTACTGCAGTTACCTTTGGCTCTTACAATAGACCAAATTTTTAGGCCGTTCACATGTATTAAAATTGTGGACAAATTTAAATTTAATTCTCAGATCTGATTTATGCTTCCCATCTGTTTCTCCTGATGTGTTTTTTTTTCTTTCTCTTTGCCTTCTTCAGGATTGCTTGAGTATTTTTTATGCTCCTACTTTTTTATGCTTCTACTCCCCATCTTCTAGTTTGGAAGTTATATATCTGGTTTCTATTCATTTAGCAGTGATCCTAGAAAGGTTAGGGGCAAATTTTACCTGATTAAATCCAGAGTTCACCAATATAGCCACCTTCTCCCAAACAACACAATGACCTCTACAAGCTCCTTCAACACTACCATACATTAGGCATCATGAAAGTTGTTTTATACACTCAATGGTTTGTTTCATTTTGCCCATATCTTTACCGCTTATATTGCTCTTTTTTTTCTTATTATCATCTGAGAAATTCCATCTAAGATTGCATTACTTCTGGCTGAAATACATGCTGTGGGAACCGGCATATTCTATCACTTTTTGTTTGAGGCGAATGTATTTATTACACCTTCATTCTTGAAAAAAATATTTTCAATGATAAAGAATTCTAAAGTTGATATCTAGTTTTCATAGTGTAGAGGTTATCATGTTCGCCTCACACGTGAAAGGTCCCAGTTTGAAACCGGGAGGAAACAGTGCTTCTCAATAGCGGGTGTTGTGCTGGTCGCCGGTGGTCCCAGCTACTAGGGAGGCTGAGGCAAGAGAATTGCCTAAGCCCAAGAGCTGGAGGTTGCTATGGGCTGTAACACCACGGCACTCTACCG